GTTGACATTTTCGTTTAACTGTAGTCAAGAATAATTTGTAGAAATTCGCTTGAAATCTTAACTTGGCTGATTGTTTTAATCATCCAACTAACCAACTGCAACCCCTCCCCCCCCCCCCCCCCCCCCCCCACCCTCCCCAAAAAAAACAACAAAAAGATAAACACTTACAAGAAATTAATTGATGTTTCCATGTTGGTCCCTTTGTTAATTCACCCGATTTAAATACTTTTGATGTCACATATATAAGGTATAGGACATTGCATTTCTGCTTTTAAGTTCAAAGCTGGTTAAAAAACGATAAAAATCAAAAATCGTGAATAACTTCAAATCAGGCGATAGCATTTTCAATAGATCACAATATATCACAAATTTGTGACAAATGTCCATTTAAAATTAGACGTATGTCATCACGTGTTGGTTGGTCGTAATGGAATATCTGTGTCACAGATAACCACGAGTGTGTTTTAATTGTCGTAACAGCAAAATATGCAATCCGATCCAGGTTACCTCGATTGAAAAGTTACCAAATATTACTCACCATCGAATGTGTACTAGCCATGAGAAACATGTCAGATGCTGTTAGTCGAACAGGCTCTGCTTGTTCTTCCGGAGTAACTGAGATCACCCCGGTTTCAAATGGGGTCCGTGTTTTTCAGTCTTTATTTTTCTGTGTAGCGTTTTGTGAATTTTTTGTCTTCTTGCCTTCTTTCGTTTTGTTTCGAAAGTTATTTTGAAATTTAATTTTCTCCTCAAAACATACACAAGAAATTGAGGATCGTATTTCACAGCCTTCTATTTTGTGAAATATTTCAGATACTGATGATAATTTGACTAGGTCCTGGTTTTTTTTTTGTTACTTTGAATTTTCTTTGTCATTGATTTATAAAATTTGAACATCGGTGATTACACTGCTGTTGCCTGTCTTTGATGATATATGCGCTTGTTTGGGTTCGAACTGAATGGCGTTACAGAAGCTTCTGGTTAAGTTAGATAATATGTTTATTGTTTTTGATTCTTTTGCTTCTGTTTTTTATGCCTAACCTAGGGGCATTATGTTTTTCGGTCTGTGCGTCCGTTCGTCCGTCCAATCAACTTGAAACTTAGTACACATGTTCCCTATGATATAGTCTTTCTTATTTAAATGCCAAATTAGAGTTTTTACCCCAATTTCAAGGTCTATTGAACATAGAAAATGATAGCGCGAGTGGGCAGGTTAAAGGTTTTGTTCAAGGTAGTTTTTGATGAAGTTGAAGTCCAATCAACTTGAAACTTAGTACACATCTTCTCTGTGATATGATCTTTCTAATTTTAAGGCCAAATTATAGTTTTTTTTCTATTTTACGGTCCACTGAACATAGAAAATGATAGTGCGAGTGGGGCATTCGTGTACTATGGACACATTCTTGTTTTTTTTTTTATTTTGTTGATTTCTTTCCTAAGTTCCTTAGTTTGCAACATAAGGCTTGTAGTGCTACTTCTTTTTCATGTATCGCACTGCCAGATACTACTTTCACCACAGTGTCTTTTTTTCAATTTTCTGAATTTGCCTCATTCTGTTAAATATTGCAGCAAAGAAGTTATGTGCAGTAAATATATTCCATCTTATACAACTACCATTTGATCAACAGTATCTGAGCCTTTCTCAACTTCGATTGCAATGTCAGTTGTATTATCGTGCTCTTCTAGACTTACTTTCAGTATTACGATTTCCTTTTTTGTTTCCTTATAAAGTATGAAAAGCTGCATGATTGTTTAATTATATCAATGTTATTAATACTATTATCAAGCAAAATTTTGATTTCCATTTATCAGTTTGATTGTTCCTTTAGTATAGTAGTAACATCATCACCATGCCCAGATCTATGTTATATCGCTCGCTATATTGTTGCGTAAAAATGTCTAGTTGCTGTTTATTTCAGACAAATATGTTCATCTTATTTATTTTAACTATTTTTTCTTTAATCTATATATATATTTAATACAACTATTTTTTTTTCTAAAAATCAATGATTGCAAAATGGAAAAGGAAGAATACTAACAAGTCAAATCTGTTCAGAAAGAGGACCTACACTGTAATATCGACAATACAGGAAATAAAAGCACCAGTACAAGAAAAAAGTATCAAACAATACTCTGTTTCAAATCATGCTTAATCAAATCAGAAATATATATACTGTTTCAATGAATCTTAAGATAACAAATTTGATAACATAATGATTTTTTTGGTAAAAAACTAGAATTTCAAAAAATCGTCTATATAGATTCCAAAACATAACATGTTCAACTGAACTGATTTCAAGTTTTTCAATTTGATATGAAGCAGATTATATTGCTATAAGATGAAAAACGGGAAATCTTTATTCAAAATATAGTAACAGAGGCGAAATAAAATAGAAATTATATCCTGAAAACTCGAGCATGTTTGTATGATTTGCCAAGTAACACCTGTATTGGAAGCAAATCAGAAAATTCATGAAAAATTACCCATAGCAGAACATAAATCTAGTTGATCTGATCATTAAAATGTGGGTACAAATTCATGAAAAATACAAGGGTATGATATACTTCAGACGCGCGATGTGTTCGAATAAAAAATGTTGGAAGACCAAATCAATAATTAATTTCAAGATCACTGAGCACCAAAAAAACTACAAATTTGAACCAAATCGATCATCCTTAGGCCTACGTATACGAAAGAGAGAAATCCATCATCCGCAGACCCAAGACAGAGAGGAATTTAAGTGTTATTTATAAAAGTAAAGATTAATAAGAAGGACATGAAAACAAATCGCACACAACTGCTCGCAATACACAAACTTAGAGGACAGAATCTTAGTTATGTAAGTCTATGATCGCCATATATTCCGTCATTGAAAATAAATCCTTTCAGTTACGCTATAAAAGTGGTAAATGTTTTTTACCTTCCGGCAGAAACCTGAACATAATTTAAAATAGTTATCGCAGTTTTTTCGACTTATCAAACTCTGTTCAGTTATTTAAACTAAATCTGAAGAAAAGTGCAGCTCTGCGTGTAGTTCTGAATAATAAAATTTTGAGGAAAAGCTTAAGGTTTAAGTAATAATGGAGAAAAGAAGTTCAGCAAACTTATCAAATAACTTAAATTAAAGAGAGTTAACCGATACTAAAGGGATATTCAAACTCAAGTCGAAGACAAACTAAAACCGGGGAAAAAAACTAGAAACGACAAAATAACAACTTAGAAGAAATAATGCCTGGTGGAATTAAAATAAACCATTAAAATCTATTCTTTTCGGGATCATTTGTGCGTTGAAAGATATTCGGGTTGCCTTACAGACCTTTAATAGCAAACATTTTCAAAATAAAAAGATTGAATGAAAACGTGAATGCAATAAGAAAGTGCGTGTTATTTCGACCTAGTAAAGTAGATGAAAAATTCTTTTAAAAAGGATGTTATGATGCTGAAACATTGCAAACAAATACTTTATAAGGGAAAGGAAGAGCGGCGAAAGATACCAACGGGACATTCAAACTCATATCGAAAATAAACTGACAACGCCATAAAAAATAGACAAACAAGAGTATAAAAAACACAACATTTAAAACTAAAGACTGAGCAACAATTAATAACATGACATTGGAAGTGAATTCTACCTCAGCATTGAATATACAAAAAACAATAGATTTTCCTAATTCCCGTTGGTATGATGTTGTCGTCGTCCGAAGACATTTGGTTTCTAGACAATTACTATAGCATGTATAGTATGGGTGTATGGATCTCAATTTCAATAGGGTTTATTTCAAAGTCGTGAATTCCTTAGGGTTCTTTAATATACCGAATATAACCGTGTATTTTTTTGTTTTGGGCCCCGTTTTCAAACTGGTCCCCATTAAGGTCCAAAGGGGCCAATATTAAACTTTGTTTGATTTTAACAAATGAACAATACGTTAAATAATTTCATGCGTCCGAAGCGCTTTGCTGAATTTACCTTTATCAGGAATGCTCAAAACCGAATATTTGAAAGCCGAGAATGTATAAGAGCCGTATGACAAAAAAAAACCTAAAAAATAGCCAAATCCATCTAAGGTCAACTTTACCTGAGGGAGTTGAAACCTTAGTTTTTTTATAATTTCAAAATTTGTCAACAAAAAATTAGTTCTTGGGGTTCTTTAATATGCTGAATCCAAACATGTATTTAGATTTTTGATTTTGTGCCCAGTTTTCAAGTATGTCAAAATCGGATTCCAAAACTGAACTTTGTTTGATTTCAAAAACAATTGAATATATTGGGTTCTTTGATAAGCTTCATCTAACCGTGTATTTAAATTTTGGATTTCAGGCCCTGTTATCAAATTGGTCCGCATCAATTTTTGGAGTGCTTTAATATGCTGCATCTAACCATGTAATAAACTATTTAAATTTTGGATATTGGACCATAAAAGTTAAATGTCCAATTTCAAATTTTTAAGTTCTTAGACCACAATCGTTCTGTGTCAGAAACTTATGTTGTGTCAAATATTTAATCATAATCCAAATTCAGTGCTGTATGAAGCTTGAATATTGGTTCCATACTTGTCCCACTGTTCAGTGTTCGACCTCTGCTGTAGTATCAAACAGCTGCGCATTTTATTTGTTTTTACTGTGAAGATTTTCTAAAGAAAAATTCAAAACAAAAAGAAAAGAAATTGCCCTTCTTTGTGAAATTTACAGTTGTCAAAGGTGACCATCAATCCTGCAGAAAAAAATGTATAGCTTCAAACACAGGAATCAGTTTTCTTATTAAACAACAGAAGTCAAATTTTATTTTAAATAATATATTGTTATTCATTATATTAAGTTCAATTGACACGACAAGTCTTTTGTTTCCATGAAAACAAAATTCTTCTTTAATCAGAAGTTATACATAGTTATATATTTATACTAGTCCTTTCAGCCAAAAACCGGTTTCAACTCATTTTGTGCATAATGTCTAAATTTAGATATTTATATATAAAGGTCCTACGAGGAAGTAAACCTTGAAAAAACAAGACTGATGAGGTAAGAAGTCACACGTGTATTTCTTCTGTTCACTAGCATTTTTGTTTTTGGGTTAAAGTCATAAAATAATAACTTGTACATTTACAAATATTTGAACGGAATTGTTCCGTGAAAATGTTTTTGTGTATAATGCCAAAATCTTTTTCATAGCCTATGTAAACATTATGATTTCACTATGATGTATCCATGCGCGATACAAATGAATGGAGTCATTGGTTCTAAGAAGTTTAGTTGAACATGTTGCAAGAGAAAATTGCTAATGTGTTAGCTGAGAATAATTATTGATTATAAATAATTATTAATTATAAATCATATTTTCTAGTGAGAGGTAATTGATTTGCTAACTTGAACGCTGTATCATAATCCTTTAAATAAAAGTTTAAAGCTTTGTGTAGTAATTGACCTCAGTTATCACTTTAATAACATGTACAAAAAATGTGTTTAGTCATATATTAAAGGCTGTAGTTGTCATTGTCCGTCTGTATGATCAAACTATATATGTCTGCCTCCTATCATATAAAAAGGTCGGGAGGTTATTTTCAATTAGTAAATTTAATTCCATCACCTTTACTGTAAAGTTACGTAAATATTCATATACTAGAATGAAAACTTCACATGCGCAACTTTTTTGGAAAAGGTCAAAATATTGGAATATGGGGCATTTGTTGAGAAAAACTGAAAGGAAGTCATACAGTTTTATTTATCGTGCTTGCGCTGTCACTGCATTTCTTCGAATCATCAAATTTCAATCGAACACGAAAATGCTAGATGTTATTATCTGTTTACAAGACAAAAAACTCTGTTTCGCGCACCCTGTCATACAAAAATAAGATTTGAAAGTTGTCACAGTTATATTTATTTGGTTTATACTTCCAAATGTCGAACCGAAAGCGGATATATAAAAAGTGACATAAATGGAACTTCTTAGGAAGAAAGATAAAAAAAAGTTAGCAATATCCTTTAACTTTACGTTCCGCTATATAGATGATGTTCTCTCACTAAATAATACAAAATTTGGTGACTATGTTGAACGAATCTATCCCATCGAACTATAGATAAAGGATACTACAGATACAGTTAAGTCTGCCTCATATCTTGACTTACATATAGAAATTGACAATGAGGGTCGGTTGAAAACAAAACTTTACGACAAAAGAGATGATTTCAGCTTCCCAATTGTGAACTTTCCATTTCTATGTAGCAACATTCCAGCAGCGCCTGCATACGGAGTATATATCTCCCAACTGATACGATATTCCCGGGCTTGTATTTCTTATCATGATTTCCTTGATAGAGGATTGCTGCTCACAAGGAAGCTATTAAACCAAGAGTTCCAAATGGTGAAGTTGAAATCATCCCTTCGTAAATTTTACGGACGCCATCACGAGTTGGTTGACCGTTATGGAATAACCGTTTCACAGATGATATCGGATATGTGCCTTATGTCGTAACTACAATACCCTTCCCTGTTCACGAATGTGACCTACCGAATTAGACTATTTACCGGATTTGTAATAACATAAGCAACACGACGGGTGCCACATGTGGAGCAGGATCTGCTTACCCTTCCGGAGCACCTGAGATCAGCCCCAGTTTTTGGTGGGGTTCGTGTTGCTTAGTCTTTAGTTTTCTATGTCAACTGTACTATTATTTGTCTGTTTGTCTTTTTATTTTTGGCAATGGCGTTGTCAGTTTGTTTTCGATCTATGAGTTTGACTGTCCCTCTGGTATCTTTTGTCCCTCTTTTTTTACTGTTCAGGTTTAAGTCATTTTCTCAACAGAATGGGCAAACATAATTTAATCAGGATCAAACACTTATTGTATTCAAATTTATAGATACCAGCTTCTTTACATTTCTTGAAGTACAGGGAGCCAGCTGCATGTATGCTTGAAAATGTCATTCACAGCATTGTATTCAATTGTATAGATACCAGCTTCTTTACATTTCTTGTAGTACAAGGAGCCAGTATGCTTGGCAGTGTCATTCACATCATGTTATTACAATGTATAGATACCAGCTTCTTTACATTTTTTGTAGTACAAGGAACCGGTATGTTTAAAAGTATTACTCCTAGCAGCCTTTGAATTGAATAAAAGTTTTTAACAAGTAATATTTCTAAACATAGATATAAACTGATGTACAAGTGTCAATATTGAAAATTACTTTCAACAAATTGGGATCAGATAAGGCTGTCGGTGTGTATGCTTACTGTTACTGTTATTGTTTTAGTATATTCAGTTCTATACATACTTTTCCATTATAAATATCAATATCAATTATGTCTTAGAAAAACTAAATCTATAATTCTTTCCTTTAAACAAAACATGTAAAACTAGATGTAGCACTGAAATGAAGTGATATTGTCTAGGCAGTGGCAAAAGATTGTGCAAAACAGTTTCCATTCACTAAAACACATCAAATTACAAATGAATTTACTTCATGATATACGGCATATTCAGACTTTTTACTTGCTTCTAAGGGAATTTTGGCCAAAAATCCTCTCCTCTTTTTATGTTTTACCTATGCGTCGTGCCAGTGGTTGATGGCATGGTTGTTCGATGATTTTGAACACATTGAAATTAAGAGAAAAGGGTATGTACATGTAAACTGCACTTTATACATATTAATTATTTTGATAGCAAATGTAATATTTTAGGAAAAACATTTATAATACGTTTTGTTCATCTTTGGTACTATTTCAAATTTAATTTGAAACGACATAATAAAGCTAACGTGCACCATAAAGCACCCTTCAAATTTTAAAAAGTACTTGTATTGATGTTGTAGACAATAAATTTACTTCACAGCTGTTTTAAATTTGTTTAGAGAAGATAAGAAATAAGCAGAAGACAAAGTGATGAAACTATTTACCAACTCAAATTCTGGAAAAAGATATTGTTCAGCTATAAACAGTTTGCTTATTTTTACTTTTAAAATTACTAAATCTTTTATGTATACAGACTTAATTTTAGCTGCGTGCTTTATTCTAAATTAAGGATGTACTTAGGTGAGGTTTAGGAATTTGTGTCAGATGTTCGGACTCCTTGGTGTTTTTCCAACGATACAGGGTGAAATAGTTTCCCCCATAACACCCATTTTTCTTTTCATATAAGACTTCAATAGTTCATAAAAGGTCATTTACCAAAATGTAAGCTGATTCTAGATTTCTTTTCTTTCGATTTGAGACCCAAATAATACCAATGCAAATACAAGGTAAAATCCAAGTCAGCCTTTTCTCGCCATTTTTTAAAACTCAAATATCTCGAAAAGGAACTCCATAACTTATCAATATTTTAGCGTATTTTTTGGTCCTTAACTAATGCTCTTCCGACTTATAGTATCAATTTTAACTTTTAGATTTTTTTAAATTCATATACTATAGTACATCCTTAAAGCTATTTGATATATAAAGAACATTTTTAAAAGCATTTAAATGCAATTCCTCACACAGAAATAAGCGATTATATCTTTGTGCAAGAACAATAAGGAGTAAACTAAGCAATACAAATTTAGTTTAATACGGTACATTTATCATTAAGTCGATCCGGACAAGTTTTGGAAAAAAAAATGTTTTCCACAATAATCAGTTTCAAATTTTTAATTTACTGAAATTTTCAACCTTCTTTTTTTTTACTGCGTGTTTTATTTTCAATTTTATCCCCAAAGCTATTTTATTTAACTGGTTGGTCTTGTGTGGACGAGACGCACGTCTGGCGTATTGCATTTTAAGCCTAGTACCTTTTGTTTGCTATTATTCGTGTGTTTCTTTGTCCTATATGTTCTCCCATTTTTTTGTATTGTGGTCCTGTCATGTGATGTTGTCGTTATGTTGTTGTGTTTGACGTTGCCATAAAAGCGGGAGGTTTGGCATGCCCCCAAAACAGGTTCAACCCACCATTTTTTCTTAAAATGTCCTGTACCAAGTCAGGAAAATGGCCATTGTTATATTATAGTTCGTTTCTGTGTGTGTTACATTTTAATGTTGTGTTTTTGTTGTGTCGTTGTTCTCCTCTTATATTTGATGCGTTTCCCTAAGTTTTAGTTTGTAACCCGGATTTGTTTTTATCTCTATCGATTTATGAGTTTCGAACAGCGGTATACTACTGTTGCCTTAATTTATATCAAAATATCTAAGTATACTTAGAAATGAGAATAAGTTAACGACACTACATTTATAATCACGTCGATCCGGCAACTAGTGATAAAATTAAATATAGAACTAGGAAATGACACCATTAAAGGTCATCGACACATTCAGGTAGTTAAATACAAAACGCTTCATGACTTGAAATTTAATTGAGTACAGGTTCAAGGTTGATTTATTTAAAGTATTTTTTGACAGTCGTCTTTTATCAGTTGCAAATAATTTCTTTTTTCGAAAAGAAAAGGTGTAAGAATCAAAGAGCTCGAGACTGTAGGTGCAAAAAATTCGAATATTCAAAAAAGGAGAAGATGAGTAAAGCTTTGCTTTTGCGTTTGCTTTCCGTATTGACCTTTTTAACTAATTCTAATATATTATATATGTTTAAGTTATTTTGTTACCAAATATATAATATGATGATATTGATGTGAGTAAATTACAATGTATCTGTTGGTATACAGCTGTGCTAAAATTAAATCTGCCAAAAATTATCTGTAAAATGGCCGTGTGTATGTTGGGTCACATATCATTGGCAACAAAAGGTCGTCTAACTAACGAAGATGTTTGAATTTACATTTACGTTTATTTAACTGCAGTCAAGAATGATTTTTAGATATTCGCTTGAAATGTTAACTTGGCTTGATTGTTTTGTAAGTTCATCCTGTTTACATACTTTTGATGTCACATATATAAGGTGCAGGGTATTGCATCTCTGCTTTTTTAAAGGTTCAAAACTGGTATAAAAAAACGACAAATATCCAAATTCCATTAATAATTTCAAATTAAAAGATAACTTTTCAAAAGATCACATTAGATCACAAATTTGTCACAAATGTCTATCAAAAGTTTGACGGATGTCATCACGAATTGGTTGATCGTTATAGAATATCCCTGTCACAGATAACCACGGGTGTGTTCCAATTGTAGTAACTGCAATCCGATCCTGTTTTCCTCGATTGTAAAATCACCAAATATGATTCACCATCGAATGTGTACTAACCACGAGAAACATGTCAGATGACACTAGTAGAACAGGGTCTGCTTGTTCTTGCGGGGCAACTGAGATGTCCCAGGTTTTAAATGCGTTTTTTTGTTTTTAAGTCTTTAGTCTTCGGGTGTAGCGTATTTTGGCGTTTTTGTCTTCTTGTGGTTTTTCGTGTTTCAAATAATTTGCATTTTTTTTTTCTTCCATTTCCTCCAAATATACATAAGAAATTTAAGGTCTTACTTCACAGCCCTCTATATTGTGCAATATTTCAGAAATTTACGTTTTGTAAATTCAATACCAGTTCGTAATCTGACTTCGTAAACAGTAAATCACTTACATAATTTTGCCCTAGGAATATCCTCTTCGTCGGTGTCAGAAATGTCTTTGGAGTCTTGATGAAACTATGAATATGTCCTTGTTTTAGTTGTTACTTTGACTTTTCTTTGTAATCAATTTATAAGATTTAAACATCGGTTATCAAACTACTGTTGTTTATATTTTGATGATACATAGGCCTGACTGGATTCGAATTCAATGATGTTACAGCAACCTCAGGTTAAATTAAATAATATTTTCACGGTTTCTGAATCTTAGGCGTCTGTTTTATTTTATTGTTGATTTCATTCCTACGTTTGTAACATACTGATTGATGTCCTACATTTCTTTCATGTATTGCTCTGCCAAATACTACTTTCACCACAGTATGTCTTTTTTTCTTTTCTGAATTTGCCTCTTTCAGTTAAACATTTCAGCAATGCAGTAAATCTAGGCCATCTTAGACAACTACCATTTTAACAACAGGATAAGGACCTTTTTCAGCATCCATTGCAATTTCAGTTGTAAAATCGTGCTCCTCTTAATTTACTTTCAGTATTATGATTTGCTTTTTTCTGTTCTTATTAAGGATGAAAATCTATATGAAGGCTTAATTAGTCAGCGTTAATAATACTATTATAACCTTTTACCTATTACTTTTCGTTTTTATGGCATGGTGTTTTCAGTTTTGTTTTTTTTTTTACCTATGACTTTGAATGTCCCTTTCGTCAGTCTTTTAGGTGCAATTTCTTTGTACATATAGTCCATTCCATTGTCTTTTATGTAGTATGTTTGAAACAGGTACGAAAAGCAGCATTACGATACATTTATCAAATAAAAGGTTGTGTTTTGATGGTTAAATGTTCATGTACATATTAATATTTTAAATGGTGTATTGTTTAGTTTAGTTTGTATGTTAATTATATATAGATGTGTGTTTATGTGTAAACAAAATAATCATACGGTCGGTAATATTTAGAGAAGTCAAGTTACTTGGCGTGACTCTTTTATCTATGGCACTTGTCTTCATGTAAACAAACCGGCCAATGTACCGTGTGAGATGTCTTCTCATTCTTTTATGAGTTAGGCCAATTTTAAGATGATTCTGAAAAGTGACTTACGAAATACATCAATTCTGTTTTACATGTTTATACTTTTATGCAAAATTACTAGTTTCAACCTCATATTTTGGTTTTCATTCCAACAATGTTAGCAACTTAATATGAAACGACGATCCACTGAAGGATGACGATACCGGACTGCCGCATACAAAAAAATGTAAACAACGATTGTGGATGAACTTGGGATTTTGAAGATACTTGTATTTCAGACATTTTTTTACAACTTATTCACTGGATTGATTTTTCCGAATTTAATGGTCGATTAATTGATCTTTTTATACGTACTCTTTTGAACCGTTGTATATTATATTTCGTGATATATTTGGTAAATATTCATATATTGTTATGTAATAATAATAAAATATAATTTAATATGAATTATTAGTTACTTAATCTAGGTAATTTATTAAGCGAAATGTATTGAAATGTATTGATGTGTTAAGCATGTTAAACCGGTCTTTTTCACAAACGTATCATTCAATACGTCGTACGTTTTTAAATTTGTTAGTTAGTCGGCCGAGTTCACGCATCAATAAATTCTTCAAGAATGTATTCCTTATTATAAAGCGATGACTAACAGAAAATGAAAAGTATACGTTAATGAGACAGCAACCAAAATACCTATGATATTTAGAAGACATAATGCAGTCTTTTACAATAGATATGTCCAAATAGTATCTCATGCTATGAATCATTCCGAATCTCTACAAATTGTAAAAAAAGCTATAAAGACCGAACTCTCAAATGCTCAACAACAACAAAATACACACCTCCCTTACCAAAACAAACCCATTAAGGTATGATATAGGCCCGACAACCACTGAAAATGGTCCAGACTTGGAACAAGCATATGTGTGGATGGTGGTATCGACAATACACATGCATATATGATATAAAAAAAGTCGTTGTTTTAAACGTTCCTCAAACACACTGCATGGAACGCATTTTAGATTAGCATATATAATTGAAATGCAGTAGTTAGTTACTACTGATGCTTCACTATCATTGTAATATTTCTGTATCCTTGAATTTTTGTTGACTTCATAAAAATGGAATAGGTTTGTGAACTTTATCGGACGTCTGTACACTTTATTGTTCCTCCCCTTTGAATTTCTATCAAAATTTTGATGTTACAAAACATTTGCTTACCTCGGAAAGCATAAGATAAACTCATTATAGATACCAGGCCTATGTTTTGTACGCCAGGAACGCATTTTGTCTACATCAGTCACGCTCGATTCAAGAAAGTTAAATATGCAAAATACAGTTCATAGTTGAGACGCATTGAGGACCCAAAATTCCGATAAGTTTGCCAAATAAAGCTAAGGTACTAGAAATCTATTCATGGGGTAGAAAATCCTTAGTATCTCGAAAAATCCACAAAGTTCTCAAATCTTTTTTATATACCAGTCATTAGGACCATCAACATTATAAACCTGCTTGTCCCTTTGAAATTTGATGGTCTTTCACTCCCAGCTGAATCATTGCCATTATTAATTTGTACGTAGATGCCAATGAAATTTATGCAACTTAGTGACTCATTATTTGCGATTTGTTTCTTTTGTTTATTTGATCTTTCAATTCTTAAAATAGGTCAAACAAATTTTGCCAGAATGTATTGCATGTATTTTTCTTTATATAAAAATCGAGTTAATATTGCACCAGAATATTTACGCCCGGATAAGTCTTTTTAACCTATATCACGCTATATTTACGAAAACATATGTTTCATATGTTAAACATATGTTTTGGATGAATATGTCATATGAGCACACCAGTACTAAAAACTGTACAAAACCAGAGGAGTTGAAGAAAGCAACAACAAGCCACATGGCAGTATATGCAGAAAAGACAAGCAATTTTTGCTTTTAACCACTTCTGCAGATTTGAAAGGACGCTACTTTTACACACATGGTGAATAGACACAAATCGATTTACCCAAATATTAAAATACCCAATCAGTTACTGCGGATTCATTATTTTTCGTTAGATACCAAATTTTGTGGATTTCATAGATACAGGTGAACCACGAATTTAAATGTTAAACGAATATCAAATTTTCTAAATAAATGTATGCAGACTTTGGCAAAACCATAAAATCAAATATTTACGAAAATTTAAGTTTTCCTTAATCCATGAAAATAGGTACCCACAAAAACAAGTTCGCATTATAACATGTGATATTACAAATAGGTTTAACTTCATGATCAGTGTAAATAATATATATTGTTCAAATATTTTACAATCAAGTTCAAAATTATATTTAATATAAAAAATAGAAGATGTGGTATGATTGCCAATTAGGCAACTATCCACCAGAGTTCAAATCAGTAGACATAGACAATAATGGGTAACCACACTGCCTTCAACAATGAGAAAAGCCCGTACCATACAGTCGTCGTCTAAAACAGTTCCGACAAAAAAAATGAGAATCAAATCTAAACGGGAAAAATAACGACTTAATTCATAACAAAACAATTTACAAACAAACAAATGTGACAGATATGAGCCAGCTGCATTTACTGAAAGCTAGTACAGTCAATTACATCTAATAAATAAATCAGGTTCTCAAAGACTAAAGTCTTGTAACATGTTGAACCAAGCCATATTCTGTATGTGTCTATCCCAAGGAAGGGTAATGTAATTGAGTTGTTGTCGTCGATTGCTGTCAGCTATATCTGTTTTCTTGTTTGTTGTTGTAATTGAAATATTAGTATTCTCTTTTGAGTTATTTTACACATTGTCATACCGTAGGTTTTTATATATGCCCTGGTGCTTTTCATATGGTATTGATTGTGATCATTGTTGAAAGCCGTATTTTCACAAAGGGCTTGAATTGGCCCTCCGATTTTAATTTTCCTTAATCAGAGCAAAACACTACAACTTGCACGTGGAAACATTTGTGATAATACCCTAAATATCTGATTCTCAGTTGTATATTCTAATTTTGAAAGACCACTTTAATGTTTGAAAGATGTAAATGTATCTATTCGTGAAAACCCAATAATCATGAGATTATGACCTGGCATACCATTATAAAACAAAGCGATGTGGTATGAGACAACTATCCAACAGATTCCAAATGACTCAAATTTATGCTACTATAAATAGCCGTAGTGCCTTTACATTTGACCAAACCCAATACCATAAAGTCATCTATAAAAGGACCCGACATGACAAAATGTGACACAAATCAAAAGAAAAAAACCAACGGCCTGATATATGTCAAAACAATTAATAAACGAAAACCAAATATGAATGACAGCAACCAACGACAATAATTGAATAAATAACAGGATCTTGCCTTAGAAGAGGCACATATATGCAATGTTATACCTCTTGGGAGCTCTCAATCCTCCCCTAACGTGGAACGTAGTGTACCAGCAAGGCATACAAACGATAGAACGTGTCAAATATGATACATAAATGGAACGCAGATGATATCAAGTATGTTAATGCGGCGATATTAGAACATTTTTAAACGAGATGGCCAGCGCCTTAGCAAACATATTACCGATAGTTTGTATAGGTTAAATTAAAGTCAGTGTATAACTGAATATTGTGATAATTAAATCTTGAAGTGTATTCATGTACTAGTATATTATGACATTGATTTTAGCTAATATTGTGTCCGTGAAGGTCCCATATTGAATTTAATCGTTTTGTTATATTTTTTAGCATTTAGTTCGCCGCAAATGATTATACTTAAACAACTTAAATAAAATAAAACCTATATTAAAATATAGCAGGATTCTGAAATTTGTATGTATACAAAAATAAAAAGAGACAAAACATGTTAGTCAATATTCAAATTAAGCCTACGTTTGGGATTTACTTTCGGAGATATAATTCTATGAATTTTGAACAAAGAATGACTTTTGAATTGGCCAGATTAGAAACTTACAAATCAGCACCAACATCTCTTCGAGCTTGGAGAATAAAATTAGCAAAGGAAGGATTATACTACATAAATGATGACCATAAGTGCAAGTGTGCTTTTTGTGAATTTTTATATCAGTTATCATGGACTAACGGGGATAATCCAGATGATATTCACAGAAGATCGGAAGCACATTGTCCATTCTTACTTGACAGGGTAAACACAAACAACATTCCAATGCATGCTGATGAACGAACGCTATTCCGGTCTCCAGCTTTTCTGACATGTAAGTATATGAATAAATCACCAGAACAATACACACGTTACAGTAATCATTGTAGCTGCATACTTAACGAAACGTTTTGTCTTACATCTAGACACTTATTAATATAATTACCTTAATATTTCAGTACAGATAAAACATAAATTATATGTCCTCATCTTAAAGGAGCATACTCAAAAACATCTGTACATATCATAGTAAAAAACAATAAAAAAAAAAGTAATATTTAATCAGTTAAAAAGGTTAATTGCATATACTGAACAAGTACATTGTTCTCAAATCATCCAAATAGCTATATTTTATCAATTGAAGCTTCCTCCGGGAACCATCAGCATCCAGCTGTGTTTGCTCATGGCTATGTTGCAATTTGTCAGACAGATAGGCGTCACTACGTTGAAGGTAAGCAATATATATGATTTAGTACACTGGTCTCTGGTATTTTAAAACAGTTGACTTCTTATCACTCCTTGTCATTTTACATGGGACGAATTACCTGTATCAAAAATGAAATACATGTATGATTTATGGTTATTATATGTATTAAGTGTCATAAAACAATACGCCGTATCCTATTCTTTTGAATTATATTAAGTTAATGTGTCATTCGTGCTATACATGTGTGCATGCTCGTGATATACATGTGTGGATGTCGTAGAATATTTTCCTATGCTTGAAAAGAAATATGCTGGAATAATTTTACAGTTATAGTGTACATATCTTGCTGTTTGATAAACTCCTCTTCTGTTTGCTGCTCCATTTGATTATCTGAGGCAATTTTATAATTGAAGTTAACGTGCAGTCCCTACAAAATATCTGCCTGAATCATTCATTATTTTCTGCCAAGTTATCTAGTAACAGAACCTAAGCTGTTGACGTAGATGATAACAACTATAGGGCGCCGTACATCATTTAGCAATTAGCAAACCCGATCCCGTGTAGCGGGATATATCGACATAGCAAAATGTTAAACAATGCAAATGAGAAAACTGACGGCCTTATTTCATGAACAAAACAACAAAGTTAAGGAAAAATAAATATGAAATACAGTGACAAACGACAACCATTTAATTACAGGTTCCTAACTCGGGACAGGCAGACACAGAACGTGGCGGGGTAAAATATGTTTACTCTCCCCTAACCTGGGACTATGGTGTATCAGCAAAACATCAGAACAAACTTTAAAAAATCAATTGAAAGAGTCCTGAGTCATCAGATCAATACTAAGCAAAATATACAACTTACAAAAATGCTAACGACACAACGTACCACCCTGAGAGTTCGTACAGCTACTGAAAACTAGTTCCAAACCAACAAATACAAATAATGTATCCTAGACAAAATATCAATCTGTACATTTCAAATGGATAAACCTACGTGGATCGTATCTGAATTTACTGGTTCTAAAAACGACATGCATGACAATCACAATGTTAAACTCAGAGTAGATGAGATACTCCAGACTATAAAGAAACGGTACAGAGAGTAGATCACACTAGTTCTAACTATTTATCAACACGAGGCCATAAAATTACTATGACCTCGAGTGTTCCTGGTGCAGACGGGTCCCGAGGTACGATTCCGACACCAGAGTGTTTTTACAGTTTGTCTCTATTTTGTTTACCCTTGTATTCATATTTTACGTAATTTGTACTTTATCGAAAAAGTGTATAAAATATTGAAAACAACAAGTTTAATAATTTCATGCGTCCGAAGCGCTTTTCCGGATTTACCTTCAGCAGGAACGCTCAAAGCCAAACATTTGAAATCCGAGGGATGTATAAGTACCGAAACATTTGAAGAGCTATATGACAAAAATACATAAAACAAATAGCCAAAATCATCTAAGGTCAACTTTGCCTGAGGGAGTTGAAACCTTAGTTTCTTTATAATTTCAAAATTTATAAACGGACAATTTTAGAAAGGTTTGTTATAAATCATGTCAGGACCGAAATACTGACTACTGAGTTGATGATACCCTCGGGGACTGATAGTCCACCAGCAGAGATATCGACCCAGTGATGTAAAAAATTGAAAACAACACGTTTAATAATTTCATGCGTCCGAAGCGCTTTTCTGGATTTACCTTCATCAGGAACGCTCAAAGCCAAACATTTGAAATCCGAGGGATGTATAAGTACCGAAACATTTGAAGAGCTTTATGACAAAAATACATAAAACAAATAGCCAAATTCATCTAAGGTCAACTTTGCCTGAGAGAGTTGAAACCTTAGTTTCTTTATAATTTCAAAAATTATAAACGGACAATTTTAGAAAGGTTTGTTATAAATCATGTCAGTACCGAAGTACTGACTACTGAGCTGATGATACCCTCGAGGACTGATAGTCCACCAGCAGAGGTATCGACCCAGTTATGTAAAATATTGAAAACAACACGTTTAATAATTTCATGCGTCTGAAGCGCTTTTCTGGATATATATGGTATGTATTATAAACGACATCTTTTATTGACGTCCTTTTCAATTTACTTTCAACGACAAACACGTTTTTGTTGGCGTCTTTGTCAAATTTTCTTTTTACTAGAAACATTTTATTGTTGCCGTCTTTTTAGATTTATCTGAATGTTTATTTTAAGTTTTTAGTCAGTAGTGTTGTTTTCTGTGATGTATGTTTACACAGTTTTTGCTGCTTGATTCTAGTTCTTGCCACATTAACCTTTTATTTCTGCTCGGATTGCTTACCTAAATTAAAACCAACCATTTGCTTCGGACAATGCATGTACCAAAAGAGAGGCAAATGATACCAAAGGGAAATTCAAACTCATTAGTCAAAAATAAACTGACAACGCCATGGCTAAAAAGAAAAAGACAGACAGACAAACAACAGTACACAAAACACAACATAGAAAAACTAAAGACTGAACAACAGGACTCCCACGATAAACTGGGTGATCTCAGGTGCTACGGAAGGGTAGGCAGATCCTATTCCACATGCAACACAAGTCGTGTTACCAAGTCAGGAATGTCTCAGTTGTTTGATTGCGTTTGAAATTTTCAGTTTCTATGGACTTTTTTAATTTGCCTTGGAGTTCGGTATTTTTGTTTTACATTTTTTTTCTCATATTTTATGACTTTACTTTGAGGAAACAGACAAAATGAGTGTCAATATGTATCTTTAAGAAATTTAAAATCACTTCAAAAGTCTGTTTCATTTTTTGCTGAGAAACTTACGAAATTAATTTTTAATTATTTTTTTTTTTCGGATTGTGAATTCTTGTTGGTTTTTCTCTTATCACATAGACAATCCTACTGATGGTACATCTCAAAAGTTGCTTCAAGTGTAGGAAACTCGTTCAATTTTACTCGTGTGATGAATCATACCTTATGGGGTACGGTGTATTTAAACCTTTTATTTTCTTTGAACATACATCAGTCAAATGCACTAAGCGATGAAATAAAAGTAGTGAAATCAATTAGTCAAACATATTTTTATAGAAAATAGTTCATTCTTGAAGCAGATTTTGTTAAGGAAAATTTAGACTCTGTTATTACACACTTTTAACACAATTTGTTTACCTTTGCCAGTTGTTGATTTGTTCTTAACCGAACAAACTTTCTTTTAAGTGCAAATGTGATGGAAAGTTTAAAGTGATATTTATGCGTAATAACCAATTTTCAACAAAAGATTTGAAAGATTACATACATTACAATTCGCTCGTACCACTTACTCTTCATGGGCAATGCAACTGTATTGTCCCTCCTTAACGAAATATCTCGTACAAATGGATCTCTAATTAAAGAGTCAATTACGGAACAGACAAAAAGACTGAAGGCTGAACGGCACTGTATTATCAGTTCCTACAAAGGTCATGTTTCAATACCACTTTGATGAATTTTAAGTTATGATTTTATGATTTTATCAAATTTGCTTTAGCAACGAATGTCAAAAGGCGTTACTGAGCGGTTTTATCCAGAACAAACAATTGGACATTTGTATATTATCGTTTATTACAGTGAGTAAAAGGTTACAATATACATGTATATCTTTTCAGAACTAATGGAAGGCCCAAACAGTTTGATGAGGCAAATTATTCAGTACATGCCACAAAGGGAAGATGAATCAAATACCAATGTGTGCATAAGTTCCTCAGAGAGAGTGGATGAAGAACAGAGTGCTGGTCAATCAGGCGATGCAAGATCAAACTCTCAAGTTATACCATTTGCAAAAGGTGAAAATAATTAATTTCATGGTTTTGCTTTAATATTGTTAGCTCATCTAAGCAAATCTTCGGATTTAAATTGGTATGCAGCCTTCGGCTGTTTTCTGCTGTTTGCTCGGGTTGTTGTCTCTTTGACACATTCCCCATTTCCATTCTCAATTTATTTCAATTCTTTTAGTACGAGTAAAAAATAAGTTAATGAAATTAAGTTCTTAAAAGTTACTGAAATTTAACAAGACCGATAAGGTTATTACAAACAAAAAATCTATATGGCAGTTACCATGGAATCAAATAATTACCAATTATTTGATTTTGAATAAAAGCTTCTATATCAAATTGAACTTCTTATCTCACATTGGCGAAAGTCACAGTTTTATAATTTGCAATTACTAGATGTCCGTTGTCGGCCGTTGGTTTACAAAAATCTTCTTCTCTGAAACAAATGGTTAAGATCGAACCGAACTTAGACGCAACCATCCTTCATGTCCTAATGATGTATAATGGTCCCGCGCTTGCCAAACTAACATGGCCACCAAGGCAAAATATAGGAGATAAGGTTAAATGCAATAGTTGTTTAATATCCTGCATTATTTATAGAGATAATCTGACCAAGTAGAAATGGTCAGAATGTCAAGATTTACCTTTTTTTAACAAAACTATCAAACGATCCCTTATAGTAGTTTTTGTCGCTAAATGGCGCGATGTTTATCAATGACCATGACAAAATATAAGCATGAACAAATCTACTGTCAGAAATAGTCTGTTGACTCATTCAGTAAAATTATCATGAAAAGACCTCAAACATGCCATCTATTTAGAAAAAAAAATGATTGCCTGAGTTTTGGGTTTGCAAGGTGAAAAATTGTAAGACAGTAAAAGGAACCAAATAATGGTTATTGTCATGCCTCCAATACAAGTACATCTACCCTCAATTTTCGATGAAAATATGTATCCTGTCACTTGTATTTCTTTAAAAAAAATAGAATTGAAACATTTGTCTTTTGCTGTTTAAATTTTCTATTATTTCCAAAATTAATCAATAGTTGTAGAGCAGAGTGATGAACCAAAACATCCAAAGTATGCTTCCCGTTCAGCAAGACATCATTCATTTGAAAATTGGCCGAAACATAGGACGCATTCTCCAACAGATATGGCGTCAGCAGGATTCTTCTACGCAGGTAACAATATTATTTATAAAAGTAAAAGAAAATAAATGGTCAAACATAAAAAAGGAGATGTAATCTGATTTTGCTAACTATCCACCACAGATAAACAACGAAAGACGAAAACAACAACATGTTGTACTGTTCATTGTATGGCCTTAAATGACGAGTAAAACGTATGCATATATGGTAAGCTTTAAAGGGCCTATGAATAGCAAAAGTAATACAACTTGAGACAACTTACGGCCCGATTTAAGAATATTCTAACAAAAACTTATCAGACAGCTGGTCACCAACGACAACAACGCGTCTACAGTGTTCTGCCTAGGGGAAAGACATGTGAATAATCTGGTGAAGTTTGTGTTAGCAATAAACCTGTCCCCTTAACCTGGGACAATGACGTAACAGCACAACATTAAAAAAACTGTAAAAATCAGTTGGAAATAGTTTGACTGATCTGCTCTGCTAAAAAACGAACCAAACGACAAAAGACACAACATACGGGTCTGATAGTACTAGCAATTACTGAAGGCTTGTTCAAAGTCAAAACTGAACTAATAAATTGATCCGTTGTCTGTTTATCGAAGCTATCTTAAGAGAAAGACGTGTTCTTAGATAATTTTCTTATTGGTTTATTAACCATGTCGCAACTTAGGATATGTCCTAGGCATTAACCTAAGTTTTGTACACCAATTCAGAAATCTTAAGTCTTCGGATGGGAAATACTTTATGATCCATTTGTAAACAAATATGACCGTCGCCTATATAAATTTAAGGAGAAGGACAAAAATATTCATAGAAATAGACTACATAGGGACTAAGGTAATCCAGTGGACTATTTTGATGACATTGACAATTATCACAAGTATAGACTACTGCTTTTCTCCTGAATTTCCTACACGACTCGCTTATGTTCTGTGTTGGTAGCATTTACTTAACATTAGCCCAAACCCTTTTTTTACCACCATTGTTTGGAACATTTGAAAGTTAATTGAAAAAAAATGAGTTATTTGTTTTCATTTTATCCAGCAGAGTCTGTAGTGTGGCATCGGTAATGGTAGGATTCCTCCTCTTGCTCATATTCATCATGTCCACGCGTATTTTTTTATTTTATGTGTTTGCCGTAAAACAATAGAGTTCTATGTATTTATATGAGAGATGCATGAGATTTGCCTTCCAACTCTGTAAATTTAGAGTGAAACCGTCATATCTCTAGTTGGAACTTTTTCAAATTACTTTGATCATCTCATATATAAACACAATTATACAATTATTTGTTTATGTTTAGTAACATAGTTAAATTGTACAATTGTAATATAAATTATATTATCTTCCTTTATACATGTTATAATACTACTAACAACTAGTTTAAAACTTGTAATTATTGGTAAAATTCTATTCATTTTTATATATTTTTTATTTTTATTTTCTATTTTCTTTTATGCCAACATTTGGAACAGCAGTAAAGTCGTCCTAGCTAAGATTTAATTCCCAAGATAGCTTCGGTGTCATGCTCAAACACGCTGTAAGTCGGTCCTTACAATATCCTAATTGATGTCCTAAGATAATGTCTTAGGACAATCTTAGGACAGCTTTGATAAACAGGTTCCATGTTTCCCATACTGAAAATCAAATCAAAACAACTCTAACAGATTTACTGTGAAAACATTATAAGCAGTCTGAGAAAATCATGAGTCAATGAAAAATACAAGTAATTTCAGGATACAGGTCCACAAATTTAGATATCATTAAATATGATAAGTCATGGATTTAGCTGTTGACAATTAAACCAATATTAGAACCTATAAAGGCAAAACTGAAATATTTTATATCAGTTATGAATAATTGTATTGAAAGGACTACATTATAACAATGTCACCCAACCACATTTGTAATAGCTTAACCCAACTACATTTTGGGATTGCGCCCAATTCTATGAATAAAGATGAAGTGACAAATGCATAAATACTCGTGGGTGCAATTCATCTTTCTGTCATAAATATATACGACTATGTTTAAAGTAAGTTGCTTGGAAAGCAGAAATCCTATAAAACTTTAAGAGTTCTTTGGTATAACGGACATGTAACAGATTTTATTTGCTAATTGAAAAGCTGAATAAAATCATTTGAGACAGCAGGAAAGATAGTTCTGTATTGGTTATTACTTAGACTTAAATTAAGAGGTAGCTATTTATACAGTAAATTTATGAAGTCTCTGTACTGGTCAATGGGTCAGGTTTGTCATAGTTACAATGTAATTAAACGATAAATTGTTGAAACTAGATATAACAATACGGAGATGTGGTAGGATTGCCAATGAGACAACTATCCACCAAAGTTCAAATGAAGTGGATGTGAGCAATTATAGGCAACCGCACGGCCTTCAGCAAGGAGAAAAACCAATACCGTACGGTCGGCTATAAAAGGCCCCGACATGAAAAATATGAAACAATTCAATTGAGAAAACTAACGGCCTAATTTATAACAAAACAGTTTACGAAAAACAAATATGACAGATATGAACCAACGACAACCACTGAACTACAGGCTTCTGACTTTGGACAGGCACATAAAGAATGTGGCGGGTTTAAACATGTTTGTGAGCGCCCAACCCTCCCCTAACCTGGGACAGTGGTGTAACAGTACAACATAAGAACAAACTATAAAAATCAGCTGAAAAAGGCTTAACTCATCAGATGTAACAAATAGAAATACATCTAACAAAAACACAAAGTGGACGTGGATGGGTACTTATAACTCCCAACAACAAAAGACACTAAGTACAGATCTGAGAGTACTCATGTTTTCACGTGTAGAGAAATTTCACTTATGACCAGTGCATGATTGGATTACATCTTTCTTATTGGTCAACGATCTTGTGGGGTCAGCACGAGTTCACGTGTATGTACTTTGTGAGCACTTCCTTTTATCATCAGCTTTTGACTTGTTAACTTGTAACTCTTATCAAACAAGTTGTGGAAAATTCTCACCCGCATACCTCCCTTAATTTTATTTTTAGAAGTAGATATGTATATATGTTTATTAGTGGTGCCGATTTTTCTCCCCACCTTTGCTATTCTTTGTCATTTATGAAATTGATATGATTTTATTTGATGTAATGTTAATTATGTATTATAATTTCATATTAATTATTAACTTTTATGTCAAAAGTTTTTTGCAAAATGTATTTTTTGCATTTTATGATTTTGAATAAATTACCTTTTTTCGTCAATTTAGTTTTCAATCATATAGCAAAACAAGCTCAGACTCTGGTCTGTGTATACATTATTATGTTTATAGTATCTGTCTGTCTGTCTTAAAATATAATAGTGTCAGTGTAGACCGTAACGGTTCCACAAGTGTGTATAGAATAAAATTAATAGCAGATAAAATTAAAGTAATTGCACTTCATTTAATCCTGAAGCACTGTCTTAATTGATCTGACTCCGCCAGTGCCGATTTCTGAAAATGCTATGATGTTCTAAAAAATCTTCATTCTTATAAACATCGAAAATAATCTTGATGCCATGCGACATGTTTCACTCATTTTAACATATTAGGTAGGTATTATCAACATGTTTTCGTTTAATTCTCTATACTCTTTAAACATAGCTAAGCGTAATGTTTTTCAATGTCTGTACACCAAGATTTTATCTATTTTTATTTAATTCTTATTGTATTCAAATAACTGTAAGTAGTTGCATTATTTCGCCTTATAAAAGTTTGAATTTGACATGAACATGCTATAATGTACTATATATAATACGAATTTATTGTTTTTCTTCTCTATCTTGTTAAAATAAACTTACATGCAGATAATTTATCATTGTACCCACTCTGGATGTTGTTGTCCATAAATTGTTTGTATTTCAAAAGAAATAATTGCTACATAACTTTTTTTAACTGGGACAATAATTTGTGTAAAATAATTTACGTTGAGCATTATAATTTGAAATATATAAATTGATGTTTAAAATAATTTAATAACTTTAAGTTATCATAACAGGCTTTCAAAACAATGGCAGTAGTTAAAATGGAACATGATGTATAACAAATATCTAAATGGAATAATATTTTACGGTCTTTAATAATAAAAGCAAATGTTAAGGTCAATCTTAGTTCATGTAAATGGTTCGAAACTTCTGTATATACATGTTTTTAAAATAGGAAGAAAAGACATTTGTTGGTGTTTTTTCTGCGGAGGTGGGTTGGAAAACTGGGAACCAAATGACAAGCCGTGGACAGAACATGCTCGCTGGTACCAGAACTGTGCTTTTGTGCGACAGTGTAAAGGAGAAGAATTTATTATAGAACAAAGACACAGAAATTTACCAAATGCAGTAGGTTTATCATATGACCCTATTCCCATTGGTTGGATATCTAAAATTCTGATTGAGTGACTAACAAACATCAATCCAAATAATATTCAATAATGTTCAGGACGAGAACAAATTAACAAAATATCCACTATCAAAGTGTGTCGACCGATCAAAAAGTTGCTTAAAGATTCATAACGAGCGATCACAGCGCAATGAAAACTTACAAATGTCGAAATAATTTGGCAATGGTGATACCGTGATATACATGTACAGCAGGGGAACGTTTTACATATATATATTATGTATATATATATATATATATAAATAAACAAGTCTAAATTGAAAACAACGTTCAAACCTATGATTGCGTCGGATAAAAACCGCAATTTTTATACGTGTGCATAAAAAACAAATTTCTTGGTAGAGGGGTCTAAATACAGCACAAACAACATTTTCTAAAAGACCAAATGAGTGAAAAGTATATTTTAACAAAACGCATGTGACTAGCAGGTCGAACAACTGATGTTCTTAAACCCTGCTGACTGCCATTGGCGATTGCCAAATAAACGGATTACAAGATGTAACAAAATAGATCTTATTATTAATTTATTACCAAACAGACAAAAATAAACTTGCGGAAAAGATGGTATACCACAAACATGAGGTGCAAAAATTTGTACACCATATCCGGACTTCGACAATTAATGTCTCTTCAGTGATGTGAGGAATCGAAACGGTATTTGGAAGGCCATATAATTTATCTCAATTTAGGATAGACTCTTGAATTTTGAAAGAGTCAAAATAGGATGAACGGATCATATAAACCCAAAGGCAAATATAATACAAGCCCAAACGAAAAAATATAAACAAGTCTAAATTGAAAACAACGTTCAAACCTATGATTGCGTTGGATAAAAACCGCAATTTTTATACGTGTGCATGCAAAACAAATTTCTTGGTAGAGGGGTCTTAATACAGCACAAACAACATTTTCTAAAAGACCAAATGAGTGAAAAAGTATATTTTAACAAAACGCATTTGACTAGCAGGTCGAACAACTGATGTTCTTAAACCCTGCTATATTTTGTAGCCTAGGTGGTCGAGTGGTCTAGGGCGCTGGACACGGTGCAGGCGGTGTTGCCACGATGTCACAGACGCAAGGGCTCGAATCAGGCTGAGGGATAAACAAAAATTTGCTAACGCAAATTTACTGATCTAACATTGTTGGGCTAAATTTGAGACGAATTATATATATATATATATGGTGTTAGCCCTGTATAACCACGTGTTATCCGATGGAGAATGTCTGTCATAAAGTTGTCACATGTTAAGACGTGGAACAATTTAAAAATGTGTTTTTTTCTGTAAACATCTTTTTACTAAAATAGAAATGATTACCCAAACGCACCCATCCCTGTTGTGTTTTCGTGGGATTTTAAAGAACGTAAACGTTCAGATCGAAGACAAAAAATGCAAACGACAAGCTGATACCACGGCTTATAATGATTAAGGTCTTAGTTTACCAAATTAAAACTTACAAAAGAGGCGTTAAATACCAAAGAGATATTCAAACTCATAAGTCGAAGACAAACTGACAACGCCTATTCAAAATACGAAAAACGGCCAAAAGACTAACAACAGATTACAAACCTTAACATAAAAAAACTAAAAACTGAGCAACACAAACCCCAACAAAACTGGGGGTTATCTAAGGTGCTCTGGAAGGGTGAGTTTATCCTTCTCCACATGTGAAACCCGGCACTATGTCGCCAAAAACCTATCATTTGTTTTCATTATATTTCTAGATCATAAACAATCGGCATCAGGGTCTTACAGAAGACTCGAGAAATTCTGTAATCAAGGATTGTGAACTGAATCGTCTGCCAGCTGTCAGAGCGGTAACAGAAATGGGATATGACCTATGTTTGGTAAAGAAAACATACAATGATTTGCAAAAAGGTGCAACGACGGGTATTTATATTATATTTTGGTTTTAATGGTTGAACTGTTTTATTGGTCATTAGTGTTTGATTGCTTTGGATCGAAAGCTATGAACAGAGAATATATTTTATATAGATTTGTAAAAACATGTAACAAGCATTGGTTGAAAGGTACAGAAGTGACCAAATTATATTTACATGTTTTACGGTTTTAGACTGTGAAATTCAAATAACACAAAAAAGCAGCAACCCCATAACAACCACAAAAAAATGTTTGTAAAAATCACACATATTTACTAGCGTTGAAAAGGTAGCTAAAACCCAGCAGAAGGTTGTAGAATAGTCACTAATACATACCATCAAAACGAGCATTATAATGGCTATCAATTCAGGAATGTGGCAACAACCAAGAACACATGTATGCATTTATTCAATGAGTGAAGAACGCTACAATTGAGGCTTTTGCAGTACTTTTTTTACTATATTTCAACTTTTCGGTTTCAAAGAACATAATTAAAAGCAGCAATTAAATTACCCAATGTCGTTTGTAACAGTCTCTAAATACAATTGCAATTTCATTTAGTTGTACATTGTTTCAAGCATTACCATAATGACATAATGTATATTTACTGCTTTTAAAACTTAAATTGTTCGAAATACTAAGGATTTTATACCCCATAGATAAAATATCTTAGCTGTATTGGGCAAAACCTTTTGGTATGTATGCCCCTCCATGCTATTTGGCCTTAATCTTCTTTTATTTGAGCGTCACTGGTAAGTTTTCCGTGGACGAAACGCGTTTCCGTCGTACAAATTATAAGACTGGTATCGTTAACATGTTTAATTTGATGAGTTTGTTCTTATTACAAAATCTCTTACTTTTGCAGACATCAATGCAGCAGTTCTCCTTGAAGCAATATTTCAAATACAGGATCAAGAATCTGAACTTTGACAGACACCTTAACATCAATTGACAATGCTACAAAAGAGTCTCAAGGGTATAAATATTTGTGAATCTAACAGCCGATAATGAATGCCAAAGTCAATACGGTTTCACAGGAAAGAGAGGAGTATTTTTTTTTCATCTGCTCGTCTGATTCTATTAAAAAGAACATTTTAAAACCGGAAACATTAGATTCATTTATTTGCAAATACATGTAGATAAATAAAGTAATAGTGTGTTTTACAAATGTATATATTAATATTTCGCCAAAAGAAATTCCAGTTTGACGTTTCGTGTCTTTGTCAAAACTTACATTTCGCGTGACGGGGGCAAGTGGATCCAAAAGTGCGATTAGGACGCAAGAGGTTTTTACAGTGTTGCTTTCTTATTGTTTAACCTTGTATTCATATTTTATTTAAATGCGCATTTTGCTTTATGTACTATTAACTACAAAGAGAAATTGTTGGCGTCTTTGTCAGATTTTCTATCAACTACAATAACTTTTATGATGGCGTCTCTGTCAGATTTACTTGTATGGTTGTATGCATTTTTAGTCAGTTGTGTTGTATGTCTGTGACGTAAGTATACACAGTTTTGGCTACTGGATCCCAATTATTGTCACATTAACCAATTATTATAAAAATAAGAAGATGTGGTATGATTGCCAACGAGAGAACTCTCCACTAGAGACCAAATGATGTAGAAGTAAACAACTATAGGTCGCCGTTTGGCCTTTACACTGAAAAAAACCCACACTGCATATTAAGCTATAAAAGACCCCGAGATGACAAATGTAAAACAATTCAAACGAAAAAACAAACGGCCTGATTTATGAACAAAATAAACAAAAAACAAATACTATATACATGAACAAACGACAACCACTGAATTACAGGATCCTGACTTGGGAGAGGCACATACAGAATGTGTCAGGGTTAAACATGTTTGCCTGCGCCAAACCTTTCTCCTAACCTGGGACAGTGATCTAACAGTACAATATAAGAACAAACTATAAAAATCAGTTAAAAAGAGCCTCACTCATCAGATCGATACAAAGCACAAAAAAAAACCCAACAAAGTACAGATATGAGAGTATTTGCAGTTACTGGCAGCAGCTAGTTCAAAGCCAATAACAACTAATTAAAAAAAATCATGTATCTAAGACTAAAATGTCTGCTTGTGTTGCTCACCTTATTTTATATATAACATATAAGCAACTGCCATAAGAGTTTAGATAGCCATAAACCCAGGTTTAACCCATCATTTTCGTCGGCGAATGCCTGTATCATGCCAGGAGTTGTTTTTCATTCGTTCCATTGGTTGATATAGTCTAATATTTTATTTTGTCAGTTTTTATGGACTTCCTCCTTTTTTAGTTTACCTTGGAGTTCAGTATTTTTGTTAATATTTTTTTGTATAATACGCTACTTTTTATACATGTAATGAGAACAATGAAAATAATTAAATATTACTTATTTTGTTTCAAATTGATCAGAGGTATAATAGAAGAATGAAATAAGAATTACTGCAAACAAAAAGAAACCCCGCCACTTGCAAAGTCCGTAATTTGCTACGGGAAACTCCGTAAATTGTTATGATAAAAACATAATAGGAGGTGCAGGATGTACAAAGCAATTTCAAAGCAAAAAATCACATTATATGTCAATAGTATTAATGGAACTGAGCAAGGACTCTTTGCATTGAAATTAATGTGAGGTGTGAGTACTTGAACGCCTCAGGTGGACTTTTTGATACAAAATGTGCACCGGTCAACCGTTTTTATATGCGGAGGAAGCCGAAGTGTACGGAGAGATCCACAGACCTTCGGCAGGAAAACTGGTAATCCTAGTCAATTAAGTTTTAATCGAACTTATCTGCCACGTGCGGAGTTGGATACTAGGATAGTGATACTAGTAGATGAACTACTTATACCACTCGGACAACGCGGCCCGCTTTTTCACTATCATGGACAAAGACTGGCTACTATAATTTCATTTTGTTAAGCAAATAAATCCATATTAAATCTCTCATTTCTTGTTCATTGTAGAACAATAAGTAAGGTTTACGCTACTTTAAGTGAGTATTTGTGCCTATATTCTGAAAGCAAATATACTGCATTGCAATGGTGATACTACGAGTAAAGGTAAAGGTGAGATAAGCTGTCGAATGTCTGTTAAATTGAAGTTTTAATGTAGAATATCATTTAATTTAAGTGAATTTTTTAAATAGCGCTTAAACACTTAAGGTGTAGACAAATGCCTATAATGATCAGTCTTATCGTGGGGAAAGGCCTGATCGGTAGCTGTTACATTTTGTACTTGTATAAACGTCTTTCTTTTGCTTACCAGAAGAGGACGAAGGCACGTGTGATAACTATTTAAGAGTGCCGGAATCACAAGAGGTCCTGAAATAGCTGTCATAATGTATGGGAGATGTTGTGGGTGTAAAAATACAGAAATTTCAAGAGTTAGTATCTTGTCAAATCAATCGATTTCTTTATAATCTTACAATCTCTAAATTGAATGCTGCTTTCGTGTAGGTATCCAATGTGCACCAAGTGGAAACCATGTTAAAATGAAAAATGTTATAGCCTCATTTACGTTAAACTTTCATGGTGGTTTGCAATGTGTTTTTGTTCAAATAAATATCAAATGGCTAGTATGTATCAAAATAAGATGATGTAGTATGATTGGTAATGAGACAACTCGATCTACACCAGAGATCAAATGAAGTAGAAGTTAACAACTATAGGTTACCGTACGACCTTCAACAATGAGTAAAACTTATACAGCATAGTAAGCTATAAAAGGCTTCGTAATTACAAACTTTAATAAAAAACAGTTCAAACTATAAAACTAACAGCATGTTTATTTACAAAACAATAAATAAAAAATAAATATGATATACATCAACAAACGACACCCAATGAATTACATGCTTCTAGTTTTTGGCCAAGCACATACAGAATGTTGCGGGATAAACCATGTTTGCTGAGTTAAGGGAGCTATTTCTTATTGGCAAGTCATTTGACCCTGTGTTTCTACCATATTGTAATTGATACAGTGATAAAGGAACCTAGTAAGATTTCGAAAAACAAAAGTCAATACAACAATCTTCTGGTGGTTTTCCCTGCAAGTACAATACAATTGAGAAAAAAGTATATGTTTATAGATAATGGAAGATGCGGTATGAGTGCCAATGAGACAACTCTCCATCCAAGTTACAATTTATAAAAGTAAACCATTATAGGTCAAGGTACGGCCTTCAACACGGAGCCTTGGCTCACACCGAACAGCAAGCTATAAAGGGCCCCAGTGTAAAACCATTCAAACGGAAAAACCAACGGTCTAATCTATATAAAAACGAGAAACGTGAAACACGTATGAACTACATAAACAGATGACAACTACTGTAATCAGACTCCTGACTTAGGACAGGTGCAAACATTTGCAGCGGGATTAAATGTTTTAATGGTACCCTTTTGTGAAACAATAGTATAACATCACAACATAGAAAAACACACTATAAAATATCAATTGGAAGGCTTAACTCAATCAAAAAACATAAATTAACACACAATGAACGAATAAATTTGACCTGTGACACCTGAATGCAAATACACAGTTAATAAAAAATTACAAGGGATAAGTTATTAAAGTCAAAAGTAAATAAACAGGTTTAAACAAAGTTAAAGTATGACATCACTGTGAAATTTCAAACAATTTATAGAAAATAATCACTTTTGAAGAAACCTGCGTCATATTATACACAGGTAAATGAAAATAATTTTGTTGTTAAGTATACTTCTTCTTCTGTGTGTATAAAATCTTCCGTTTAGGAATACCAAGAAATTTCTTTAACATCAATAAAATAAATCTAACACTTGGTACATATGGGGTGAATATCAACAATAAAAATATACAATTAGTGCTAGATAAAACTTCCTGTACAGGTCCAAGAACAGCATCTAAGGAAAAATGAAATAATTTTGATGTTCATAGTACGAAGAAGTGAAAATTTGTAGTAATTAAATACCAAATAATCAAAGCTGGTATATAGACAAGATCCATGTTAACATTAAATAACAAAAAAGCATTACAAATAGTATCAACAGGTCAAATTAAAAAGAAAGTACGATTTGAGAGTACTCGCAGTTACTGACAGCTCGTTAAAAGCCAAAACTAATAATAAAAAATCATGCATCAGAGACTAAAATCAACTAAAATACATCCCAGGGATATAGTATTTTAATGTCATGAACAGTCAAAGAAGACATGACTTGTGCAATGCCAAAAATAAATGTATCGACAGGTAGTAGGATAGTTAGGAGTGACTTCTTTGTAGATAACAATGAACGTGTGTGTATCTCTATACATCCCGTTTGAAAAGAAAATACAAATTAGTTATGTTTTAATTTGCTAATGACAATATATATAGTGGTAATGTAAACTATATTCAGAGATCTTATTACAACATTGGTACGATAACCCTTACTAATAAGTTTGTTGACATCACTACACACACGGGCATACCGAACGAGTTGTGATATATAAACACCGTATGATGGAGCCAAAGGCACATCGCCGTCTAAAAAAGGAAAATTAACAATCGGGAATGAAAAATCGTCTCTTTTGTCGTAAATTTTAGTATGGAGTTTCCCTTTAGAAATTGAAATGTCTAAATCTAGAAAAGGACAACTGCTGCTGTTTATGTTAGATTTAGTTAAAGTAAGTTCTTTTGGGTAAATTTCGGTAGTACATGTATATTTAGAGAACTCTGGATTATTTAACGAACAAATATCATCCAGATAACGGTAGGTATTGTTGAATTATGTTTGATTTTCGGAGAGGATATAAAACAACCAGTTTAAAACAATAATTGTTAAATTAAAACAAAAAAAAGTTATTATTTGTTTATAGTTTTATCATGCAAAATAGAATGAGTACAAACACTATTCAATGTGTGTAATCAACAGTTGAGTCTAGACAGTACAAAACAATCAGGTGCTGCTGTTTACTTTACAAATCAATGGAACAAATGGTGAAAAATAGAAATAAGGATACAATTACAGTTTAATAATGTGTTAAACTGGTGTTATAGTTAACAAAAATGTCGGATATGGCTTACTAGCGCAGTCCGGAATATGATGGAGTTTTAAAGTATGAAAGTTCCAATAAAATACGGAAACCTGTTCGAACATGTTGTAAATGCAATGTTATTATATATAGTAACATACGCTGTTGTTATAGCCTCAATTTATATTCATCCGCGACATCGCGGGTCCGTAACTAAATATAATGTATCTATGCCTTATTTTCAGCCTGGATTTTTAGTATTCGTATTGTCATTTGATAAAGTCATGCTTATTATAAGGTTTCTCTGTTTTCAAAATATTTCGGTTAGAATCCGTCCTGGTTTTCTAACTACCACCGGAAACACCTGTAGATATATTTTTTTGGTCAATGATTGAATTTAGTAGTGTCAATCCCTGTATAATGACGAGGTTCAGGTGTGATTATGACCCATGTAACTATATAGTAAATCCCAAATATACCGTTTTGTGGTGCGCCTGACAGATGCGGAACGTACAGGTTCGATAACAGGTAACAGGTACTATTGGTATCGGTTTTGGAATCGACCGGAACTTGTTAATTATTGGTAATATCGATTATGTGGAAGACAAAAGAGCCTGGAATGGTGTATTTTTTTATCAACACCATTGTCTTACATAAGTTATATATATTTATAAAGTTGAATTCTTTGATTGGTCGTTTTAATTAACGTAATGTCGGCTAACAAATTGGACCTCGTTATTTTAGTACTATAGATACGTCCGAGAAGGGGATTCCTACGACGTTTCTTTCTCGTGTGACGCTGATTAAATGAACAATATATAGAGAAATCGAGGAATGGAAGCGTAAAAGAATCAAAGTAAGACAGTACCCCATGAAGCAAGGAAACTTTAAGTTTCAAGACGGTTTTGCTTTTGAAATGAAAATATCCCTAATTCACTTCAGTTATTTATGTAAACTGGTGTAAATGAGTCCAGCAGGATATGATTCAGACACCAAACTAGTCATCTTTTGTATATGGGCGAGGTAAGGTTGGGCCATTTTTTTCTCGCTCGGGACACATATTTTTATGACTTTATAAAATATCAAATTTTTTGTCTTTAACATTGAGGAAATTAGTGTTGTTTTTTTTTCTAAATTAAATGTTGTATTTAAGCTTTTTCATATTTTACTCATGTGATTTATAACAAACGGTTTATTAAGAAAACACCCATCTTACTCCCCTCCCCTAAAACAATACAACAAATTTATGATTGGTGCCTAATGGTTTTACTATTCTGCTGAGATTACAGACAAAAGCTATCAACAAGGTTTATAGAAAACCCAGAAAAAGAAACCTATTTTTAAGTCATTAAGTGACCCGGAAGGGTATTCCTTATTTATAGTTGATTACTTATCTCATTAAAGAAAACTTATATC